ACACACACACACACAGCCACGCTGCCGCTATGCACGGGAAGCACACCCTGGCACTGCCCCGCCACTGCTGTGGGGCGGCGGTGAGGGTTTGCACCCGGACAGGCGGACAGGCTGGAGGGCAGTCTTGACCCTGACCTTCAGGGAGGATCCGGATCTCAAAGACAAGAGACTCTCATTCAGGAGGAGCTCAGTGTGGCTCAGGAAGTGCAAGGGAGTCAGCCAGTCGGGGCTGGGGAGGGAGAGGCCAGCCACAGGGTGGCCAGATAAAATACAGGCTGCCCAGCTGTATTTGAATTTCAGAAAAACAATGAATAATTTCTGAGTGGAAGCGTGGCTCATGCGTCCTTTTACTAAAAACTTAACTATGCTATACAAAAAAAGTATTTGTTGTCTATCTGAAATGCAAACCTAACGGGACTTTTGGGGGTGAATTCCAGCCACCCCAGACAAGGAGGGCTTCGGGTGAATGAAGCAGAGCCAGGCCTCCAAGGTGGTACCTGGGAGCCAGCCCCCTCCCTACCCTATGACCCAGCAGCCGGCCCCTGAATGCTTGCGACAGTGCCATTATTTCAGGCATTGCCTTAAATCTCGTCTTATTTATTCATTTATTTATTTTGATTGCTTTATATTTTTATTGATTTCAGAGAGGAAGGGAGAGAGAGAGAGAGAGATAGATACATCAATGACGAGAGAGTCGTTGATCGGCTGCCTCCTGCACGCCCCACACTCGGGATCGAGCTTGCAACCCAGGCATGTGCCCTGACCGGGAATCGAACTGTGACCTCAACACTCAACCACTGAGCTAAGCCAGCCGGGCTCATTTTATTTATTAAAAACCAAAGTCAATATTAGAAACCTGTGGTACTTGGTGATTCCGAAGAAGGGTGGTGTGACCACACTTGCCGAGCGCACGGCATGAGTTAAGGTGTCGCAACACCTTAGGAACAGCTGGTTCAGGGGTCACGTGGCAGTTAAATCCCAATACCCCCATTTACTAGCTGTGTGACCGGAAGCAAGCCTCGCCAGCTATCTGAGCCTCAGTTTCATTGTCGGAAGAATAGGACAATAACCACAACTCCCTGGTTTGGGGAGTCCGTGAGACAATGAAGGGAAAGGGCATAGTGTCCCCCACCCACTGAGCAATGTGGGTGTGTTGGGCTTAACAGCCAACAGAACTGCCCAGCTGGTGTGGCTCAGTGGTTGAGTGTCGACCCAGTAACCAAGAGGTCGCCAGTTCGATTCCTGGTCAGGGCACATGCCCAGGGTTTTGGGCTCGATCCCCAGTAGGGATGTGTGCAGGAGGCAGCCGATCGATGATGTTTCTCTCATCCATGTTTCTATTTCTATCTATCCCTCTCCCTCCCTTTCTCTCTAAAAATCAATAAAACATATATTTTTTAAAAAGCCAACAGAACTGCACATCAGACACGAAACTGCACACACAGATACGCAGACCCACAGGCCACAACCCAGCACAAAGCTATGGAGATACTGCAAACACAAGCAAACCAGCCAGAGATGGATTTGGAATCCAGCCCCACTCTCTACCGACAGCTCTTCAGATCAGCCTGGATTCCCACTAGAGTCAGGTGGCAATGAAAAGACTATGGTGCCCCATCCCCACTCCATTCAAATTCAACTCAAGCTGTAAACCACAGTGAAGTAAGTGTTAAAACAGAAGTCTGAATTTTCCCATGACACCTTATTGTTATTGAAATAGCAGAATCATTCCAAAAATTGTTTCTGGTTGCTGCAAGTCCAGGCTTGGTAGGGGCCCTGAGCACATGCTTCTGGCTTACAGGCAGAGCAGGTCTGCCCTCCAACTGAGTTTGAGGATCAGGACTCCTCGGTTGCCCATTCCCAAGGGAAGCAGGAAGAGAGAAAAGGAGGGGAAGAGACAGAGAGACACATTGATGTGAGAGACACATCAATTGGTTGCCTCCCACACGTGCCCGGACCAGGAATGGGATGGAGCCTGCAACCGAGGTGCGTGCCCTTGACCGGAATCAAACCCAGGGCCAGGACCCTTCTGTCTGTGGGCCAATTCTTTATCCACTGAGCCAAACTGGCCAGGGCTCAAATATGTATTTTATTGATTTCAGAGAGGAAGGGAAAGGGAGGGAGAGATAGAAACATCAATAATGAGAATCATTGATCAGCTGCATCCTGCACACCCCCTACTGGGGATCGAGCTGGCAACCCGGGCATGTGCCCTGACTGGGAATCGAAGCATGACCTCCTGGTTCATAGGTCGACACTCAACCACTGAGCCACACGGGCTGGACTCTCCCTCATCTCTTTCGGGGAACTTTAGCTCCCAGCCTTCCCCCTCCCTGGCCAAAAGCACCCCCTGCTCCTTTTCCCAGCTGGAGCCTTGGCTTAATCTCAAGACAGCTAATAGGGCCTCGGACTGGACCTTAGCCAGGCCATTAACTCCCTGGTGACCTGGGGAGTCACTGCCCTGGACCCCAATTTCTCCATTTGCAAAATGTTGAGAAGATGTGCGATGTGAGGAACTGGTGAGATGCTAGCATGAAGCCGGCCCCAGCGCTCAGGCCTCCTGATCCCCAATGCACGCCCAGATCTTGGCCTCTCTAGGCTGAGAGGTAGGCCCCTGGGACTGCTGGAATTCCTGGGGTGGGGTGGGGGAGAGGGAACAGAGGGAGTGGAGAAGTAAGAACAGCAGTAAATAAGAAAGTGCCTTTTGGGAAGCCAGCTCCATGTGGGGCAGAGGAGTCCCCCAGCTTGAGAAAAAAGCAGGATAAAGGCAACATTCCCCCACCTCTTCCCGCTGGCCCTTTGCACATGACATCCATTCCACCGTTGTGGCCAGACTGCACCCAGCTTCGCTGGACCTGGCAGATGTCCTCTGAAAGTTCAATCAC